ACAATCAAGGAAGGTAAAACATATTCACTTTAACATTTTAGAAGCTCACTCACGTGACAATCCAGCAAGCAAGCTTCTAAGTGCTTCAAGAACAAAGAACAAAGCAACTACGGACCAATTCCCACATCGAGTCATTGTATGTCCTTAATTAAGTTGTAACTTTGTTATAGTTCTTCAATTGTAATTCCTACCTGGCTTGTTTAGAAGCATTCTATAGGAATCCCTTTGTAAACCTTAAACCAGTGTGTTTGAGTCTTGGCTAGATTTAGTCATGTTGTAAAGTCTTTGGAATAGAGTTATTACAATGTGGCTTGTTATAGCGTATTACAAATTGGTGAGGGATTAAGAGGTTAATTCCTATGTTGCATAGGTTGTAATCTAAAAGTTGCTCAGTAGTGAATTTGAAATCCTACAAGGGTAGGTCTTGGTTTTTAATCATGTTAAGCTAGGAATTTTCCACGTAAAATTCTTCTTGCCACTTATTTACTGTTATATGTGTGTGTACTGTTGAACCTGATAGAGAACCTAGTTCTCTATAGAGTTTAGTGGACCCTTATATTCAATCAATTGGTATTAGAGCAGGTTCTTTCTATCAGGTTAACACCTAGAAAGGATCATCATGGCTGCTCCTCCAAACTTCGAAGAAGGCCAGTCTACTTACAGACCACCTACGTTCAATGGATAATATTATGGATGGTGGAAAGCTAGAATACATGACTTCATCATGGTTGAAGATTCTGAGGTATGGGATGTCATAAGTGATGGACCCTTTGTTCCTACCAAAAATCTTGGCGAACTACTAGTAGCCACTCCCAAGACAAGGAAAGAATTCCATGAAGCGGATAGAAAGGCCATAGAGAAGAACTTTCGTGCAAATAAAATTGTGTTGTTGGTATTAGTCTTCATGAATACAACAGGATATCAGCATGTCAGTCAGCCAAAGAAATTTGGGAAGCCCTTCAGACAGCTGACGAAGGAACAACACAGGTCAAGCAATCCAAAATCGACATGCTCACAGCTGAATATGAGCTCTTCAGGATGCAAGACGATGAATTTGCCAAAGAAATACATACCCGATTTACCTCCATCATTAATGAGCTTCACTCCCTTGGTAAAACTATTCCAAGAAACAAGCTGGTTCAAAAAAGCCTCAGTGGTCTGGCCAGTTCTTAGGAAAGCAAAGTGAACGCCATTGCAGAGGCAAAGGACTTGCAGGAGCTAACTATTCATGAGCTTGTTGGCAATATAAAAACATATGAAATGAAGAAGAAGAAGAAGAAGAAGAAGAAGAAGAAGAAGAAGAAGAAGAAGAAGAAGAAGAAGAAGAAGAAGAAGAAGAAGAAGAAGAAGAAGAAGAAGAAGAAGAAGAAGAAGGTCTGTGCGGAGCTTGAGAAAAACAAACAACTTTATGAAGAACTAGGTAGAGTGAAGAAGAAGAAGAAGAAGAAGAAGAAGAAGAAGAAGAAGAAGAAGAAGAAGAAGAAGAAGAAGAAGAAGAAGAAAAAGAAGAAGAAGAAGAAGAAGAAGAAGAACATTGAAAGAAGAGAGCCCAAGAGGGAGAAGAACCTGGTCCTTAAGACAGAAAGCAATGACTTAAGTGGTGAAGATGGTGATATTGCATACCTAACAAGAAGATTCCAGAAGATGGTTCAGAGGAATGGAGGCATTCCAAAAAAAGGAAGTTCTAGCAAGCCAAAGAATTATGAGCTTTGTCATAAATGTGGGAAGCCAGGATATTTCATCAAGGATTGCCCTCTCCTAAAGCAGAATCAGTACAAGAACAACTCTGACAAAGCAGCCAAAAGAATCCGGGTTCTAATAGACACTTCAATAGAAAAAATGCCGCTGGCAATGTCGTGAGACAAGCTCTTGCTGCATGGGGAGATTCATCAAGCGAATCTAGAGAAGATGATGAACCAGGTAACATCTCTATGACGGCAGTAGAAAGTGAAGCAACCGAGTATGATTCAATTTTTGCTTTGATGGCCCAATCTGATGATGAAGATGGCGATGATAATGAGGTAAATTTTCTGGATGTTCAAGAAATCTGAAATCTTATTCTCCTAAGAAACTTATGTCTTTGGTAGATGTGCTAATCGATGCTTATCATAGTCTTATAAATGACTGAGATGTCTTAACAGTTGAACTAGGAGAAGCATAACAGTCTAGAGATGATCTAGTAGTTGCAGTTCATTTAAGAGAGTCAATTGAGAACCTGAAGGAGGAAAGAAATGTCTTAGAAAAAAGTATTGCAAAAGTAGAACAAGAAAGAGATGACCTTCTAGTGGTAGTAATGGATTTGAAGGAAACAATTAGGAAACCTAAAATGGAGAGCAGGACTGAAAATTATCAAAAAGGAAAGGAAGTTGCAAGCGAGGCACACATTAAGCTTGAAAGTGAGCTAAATTCAGTGAAGTTTAGTCTGTGCGGAGCTTGAGAAAAACAAACAACTTTATGAAGAACTAGGTAGAGTGAAGAGTGATCTTGAAAAATTACTCAAGTAAACCTGGTCCTCTCATGCTATCACTGCCATGTACACCAACAATTAGGGAAACAGGCAGGGGATTAGGTTTCAAAGGGAAAAGATTCCCTACAACCCATATAGCAAGTACATTACTGTATCTAACAATTGTCTTTGCACCCACTGCGGTAACAATGGCCACTTTAAAAAAAACGCATAATGCCTGCATGGACCAAAAAAATCCCTGATTCACCTCTTCCTCATTACAAGAGTCCCAAATTAGTTTGGGTTCCTAAAGCTAACTTCTAACTCTTCTTGTGCAGGGAACAATGAAAGGAAGCAGCCTACAATGGCACACAGACAGTGGCTGCTCAAAGCACATGACTGGAAGTACAAATGATTTCCTTTCACTTAAGGCCCTACAAGGAGGGAGTGTATCCTTTGGAAATGGCATAAAAAAGGGATACATTCTGGGAGTCAAAAGGATTGGAAAGTCTCTTTCTCACTCAATCGAAAATGTACACTACGTAAATGGGTTGAAGTATAGCTTGCTAAGTGTTTCCCAAATCTGTGACAAGGGAAACAAGGTGGAATTTATGTCAAAAACCTGTACAGTCACAAACCTGGTGACTGGTGAGGTAGTGCTAGTGGTAAAAAGATACAAGAATATCTATGTAGCTTATTTTGAGTCTCTAAAGAATGGTAATCTAAGATGTCTAAGCACTACAAGCAGACCTGACATTGTTTTTATCTTGGGTCTCTGTGCAAGGTTTCAATCCAATCCAAAGGAATCTCATCTGAAGGCTGCCAAGAGAATACTGAGATATCTCAAAGGAACACATAACCTAGTCCTCTATTATCCTTCTGGAGACAGTTTTGATCTTATTGGGTATGCTAACGCTGATTATGCAGGATATTTGGTGGACAGGAAAAACATGTCTGGAATGGCACACTTCCTGGGTTCCTACTTAATCTCATGGGGTACAAGGAAGTAGAACTCTGTGGCACTTTTAACTGCAGAAGCTGAATATGTAGCAACTACCTCTTGTTGTGCTAAACTTCTATGGATCAAGCAACAATTGGAAGATTTCGGAGTATTCTCAGACTGTGTGCCTCTCTTATGTGATAATACTAGTGCACTCAACATGGCAAAAAATTCAGTTCAACATAAGAGAACCAAGCCTATTTATGTACGTCATCACTTCCTCAGAGACGATGTTGAAAAAGGGCTTATATGCATGAAATTCTACGGCACTGAAGATCAAATTGCAGATATATTTACCAAGAGCAGAGAACATTTCGAGCAAAATCGTCTGGCATTTGGGTTGATAAAACCCAATTGAGAACCAGGTCTCTCAATGATTGGCTATGAAAGAAAGGTTTTGGTAAACTTAGCTAAAAGGTGTTGTCTAGCAATGTATGACTCGTCTCTATACCGTTATAGGTAGACACGCTTGATAATTATAGAGCGAATAAGCAATTGAGGTTGAATACACTGGTAAAAAGGGCAAAGCTTATAGATAAGAGATCAATCAGGGAACCTGGTTCTCCTAACACACGTTAGTAATTTCTCTATTCTTTCATGCACAATTCTGAACAATTAAACAAGTGCCACATCATCAGCATGTCAGTTTTAAGTTTTGTGTCTTTTGAACCCAAACGTCTCACCCGCTATTAATCGACCCATCTCCCTAAAACCTGCCGCCCTTTCTAACCGATCCCTCTGTCATCATAAATACATCTATCTCTGCCACCACACTTCACACATCAACACTTCCAAACCTGTTTCCTATTCTTTCTCTCTTCAGTTCACCAAATCTTCTCTCTTTTTCTCACCATGGCTGAAGATCAAATAATCCCTAGTATCATCGAGTCCTCACCAGTCGAAACACCAACGCCAGACTCCCCTACTCACACTACTGATAACCAAAACCCTAGAACAAAGTCACCCCCACACTCTGTCTCCTCTCCTACCCATTCGAGCTCCATTTCTCACAAGAGTCACCAAGCATCAACTCTCGCAAGAGGTGTTTCCCAGAGCTCTAGAGCTCTTCTCTTACCTCGCAAGAAAAGAGGGATGAAACGAGTTTTGCTGATAATGAAGAAAATTGGAAAATCAAGTTCTCCTACAGAATAAGGGTCAAAGGTAGACCAGGCTAAGGGAAATAAAATCATCGACTCAACAAATACTGCTCCCAAATCCCTTTCCACAGGTACCGCTCCTACTTCTCCTAAGCTTCTCATGAATTTGCAAGGAAAAGAAGCAATCGAAAATATGTTGTCCATCGCCAATGAAGGGGTTTTTGTCGGAGGAAGTGAGGATGGTCTTAAGAATTAGGGGAAAGAATATGAGCTTGTAAGAGAGGACAATGAGTTGGTGCCTATTGAACCTTCAGCACAAGAAGATGCTACTAGGGAACCTACAAGAGGACTTGATCCACCTTCGGAGGATGCAACTCCGGATCCTTCTTAGGAATCCCAGTTCAGTACTGACCCTGATCCCTCTCCTCATTTAGATGTTGAGCCTCTAAGTGTGATTATGCCTGAGACAAGTCCTGTGTTTGAAGATCAAAAGGAGGATAGTGAAGAAGATTCTGATGACTTACAAATTGCCAGTTTGCCTAGGCATAGAGTAGCTGTTGGTAAAGAGCCAACTCCTAAGAGACCCACACCAAGGTTGCAAAAGAAGGAGGCTTTTGAGTATGCTCAAAAGAACAATCAAACTAAGTCAAAGAGAAGAAAATTAGTGAAAGATGGAAAAGTTGTAAATGAGAAGATAGTGTCTGTTGTGAATGTGGATGAAGAAGAAGCGGAGGAACCTAGTACGTTGACTAGGAAATTATCATACAAGCATGGTCTTCTCAAGCCAAAAGGGGGATCTTCTATTCCGCTAAACGTCTAACTAGGTGTGCTGATATTGTGGCTACTGACAATGTGGAGAAAGAATCAGGTGAAAAATCTTTGAAGTTTGATAAAAAGGAGAAAGGGTTTGCAAGACTGCTAAGAGAAAGGTTGATACAGACGAGGAACCTGGTTCCTCAAAGAAGGCCAAAGTTGGTAATCTGGGGAGTGCTAGGAAAGAGATATTGAGAAGTCAAAAGGTACTATGGGGGCACACATTTGCCTCTGATGTCTTGGAGGAGGCTGGTATGAGACAGTTGGTTGAGATTTGTGATTTCCACTAATAGACACACTTGTTCGCAAGTGATGCTACAAGGGTATATGAGAAGGAAGTTCAAAGTTTTTATGCCGACTACAAGGTTGAGGATGGTCACATTTGTGCCTTGGTGAATGGGGTTGATATGGAAATAGACTCCTCCTTACGGGGATCTATTCTTGGTGTGCCTACTGAAGGGCTGTCTAATGTTCAGGGAGCTTGTACTCAGAACTTCAGAAACACAATCTTGAAGGACAGAGCAATTCAGTGGGGTGAACGGGTTCAGAAGAAGGCCCTTCTTCCTTTTTATCAACTGCTATTTGAGATGGTTAACAAAGTATTGCTGCCTCGAGCTGGGCAAAGATCCATCACCTCTCGTGCAGACCTGTTCCTCATGGAAGCACTGGACAACTTCACCACCATCAATCTACCTGTGATCATGATAGAGCACATGAATAAAGTGGCAGACTTTAAAGATGGGAATCATGGGCTGCTATATGGGTTTCTTCTTCCCAAAGACTTTGAGAACTTCAAGGTTCCTCTCAGACCAGTTAAAGTATGCGCCAAGAAGCAAAAAATTTCAAAAGGCACTCTTGAAGAATGTGAGTGTATAGAAAAATTTGGAGAGGTTGCAAGCACTTCTACCATATCTCATTTAATAAATGCTCAGAACAGTGCCACTATTGAGATAAGGAAAGTGAAAGCAAGGAATGCTATCCTTGAGACTCAGATAAGTCAGCTGCAAGAGGCACCTAGCTCCAGTTGCTCTCAAAGCGAAGAGGTTGGTCGCCTGACAAAGGAGAAAGCTGAGCTCAGGAAACAAGTAGAGGAGGTGAAGGAAAGACTGCTCAATGAGCAAATGTCAGCAAATGGTCGAATGGATTTTATCCTCTAGACAATTTCTTCTGCCTCCAAACCTTCTCCTCCTCGTGCTTCTTAAAGTCTCTCCCCTCAGTGTCTGGTCTATAAACCAGTTTGTGCTCCTGTCTCTCCGTGTCAGTTCTTATGATGATAACTTATGGTATTTTTGTTAGTTGTTCTAATTTGTGGATGTGGAAGTAACATTGAATCTGATCCTGCTGTAAAATCCAAAACTATGTTAATGCAAGCTTTTCCCTTGTTGTTGTTTATACCTTGCTTTTATGCTTTGTTCTTAATCATGACTGTGTGCACATAAGTGGCATGAGTTAACTTAAAACTAAACTTCCTTGTTGCTTACTTACTTGTATCTAATCATTTTATGATGCCAAAAGGGGGAAAATAATTGCACTGATTAAGGGGGAAGTAGAGATTCATGGGGAAACTTAAGGTCCTTCTGGTTCACAGTCTAGTTCTATGTGGTTCTTTCTGGGATTTTTAATTATTCGTTTGTCATCATCAAAAAGGCAGAAATTGATAGGTTACAAGTACTTTGGTCATAAGTACTTTGCTTTATGTGTTGATGATCTAATAAACTTACTATCCAGAACCAGATAAGGAACCTGTTACATATTTGCAAGACTTTAAGATCATAAGGTTCCAGGTTGGGATTCAGCGTGGGTTATGATTCAACTCTTTAGAGTGGAAATTACAGCTGAGGGAACAGGTCCCTACCAGTTCTCGAGGAGACTGTGCGAAGTCAACTTTCCAGTTGGAAAGTTGCTACCTGCACACACTACAATGCAGGAACAGTGCTGCAGTCAACTTTCCAGGGAAGACTTTTTACCTACCTTGCTTACATCATTGTAAGTGATGTCACACATGTATATATACATTCAAGGAACGTGAAACATATTCACTTGAACATTTTAGAAGCTCACTCACATGACAATCCAGCAAGCAAGCTTCTAAGTGCTTCAAGAACAAAGAACAAAGCAACTACGGACCAATTCCCACATCGAGTCATTCTATGTCCTCAGTTAAGTTTTAACTTTGTTATAGTTCTTCAATTGTAATTCCTACCTATCTTGTTTAGAAGCATTCTATAGGAATCTCTTTGTAAACCATAAACCAGTGTGTTTGAGTCTTGACTAGAGTTAGTAATGTTGTAAAGTCTTTGTAATAGTTATTACAAAGTGGCTTATAAGTTTTAACTTTGTTATAGTTCTTCAATTGTAATTCCTACCTATCTTGTTTAGAAGCATTCTATAGGAATCCCTTTGTAAACCATAATTCCAGTGTGTTTGAGTCTTGGCTAGAGTTAGTCATGTTGTAAAGTCATTGTAATAGTTATTACAAAGTGGCTTATAATAGAGTATTACAAGTTAGTGAGGGATTAAGTGATTAATTCCTAGGTTGCATAGGTTGTAATCTAAAAGTTTCTCAGTAGTGAAGTTGAAATTCTACAAGGGTAGGTCGTGGTTTTTAATCCCGTTGAGCTGGGAATTTTCCACGAAAAATTCCTCTTGCCATTTATTTACTGTTGTGTGTGTGTGTACTGTTGAACCTGATAGAGAACCTGGTTCTCTATAGAGTTTGGTGGACCCTTATATTCTATTACCGATGCCAACCGAAGTTCTTGCCCTCGGTCGTGGTTTCGACTCACTTCTTCTTCCGTCTGTTCCCAATTTCACGTGTCACTCTGTCATTCGAATATTTAGTGTGTACCAATTTTAACATACACAATACAGAGTGTATATATAGAAAGGAAAAAATATCAGTATAATTATCTCTTCTTGTTTCTCTAACTCTTTCTCATTCTTAATCTTTATAAGGTATCATCAATCCTATGGCCACTTCACAAAATTCCAGTAAGTTGTTTTCACTTGCAAAATATTCCAGATCGTCCACCACCATTCAACTACCAAACCTTTCTCTCAAACATGATAGAAATAACTATCGTCTTTGGAAAGAAAATACCTTAGACATACTCCATGCTTTTTCTCTTGACTCTTTCATTCTTGTTTAATCCTCCTCAAAAAGTAATTATTGTCACCTCCACTTTAATCAGTACTACTACTACAAATCGACCCTCTAATACATATTCCTCTACCACCCAAGCACAATTAGTAGTTACTTCTGGTCATGCTTATGTAGAATGACGACGTCGTAGCGATCTTCTTATTCTTGTTTGTCTTTGTCAAATAATTTCTGATCCTCTTTATGGTTAATTCGAGCTACAATTAGTTGTCTCTTCAACCAACTTCACCTCTTAACACCAACTACTTATCTCTTCTTGGTCCAACCCACCTCTACTTATTATTTTGACCACAATCCTCATAATTATGCTCAATCCATAGTGTCTCAATAATGTTCGCATTCCTCTTTCTGTCGGCCAAACAATCGACAATCCAAGCGTCGTGTGCAATGTCAAGATGTGGCAAAAATAATTATGATGCTCATAATCTAAAATTGCTCTAATGAGAAAAGTCTTTCCGCCAACAAGGCAACTACTCTACCATCATTAATATTTGATTTGGCTCTGCTCCTTCCCATGCCCTCTTAACAAACAATTCTTGTCTCTTCAGCCCGCTCCACCTCTTAACACCAACTAGTTATCTCTTCTTGGTCCGGTCCTACTTTATACTTATTATATTGACCACAATCCTCATAATTATGCTCAATCCATAGTGTCTCAATAATATTCACATTCCTATTTCTCTCTGCCAAATAATCGACAGTCCAAGCATCGTGTGCAATGTCAAAGATGTGGCAAAACTAATTACGATGCTCGTAATTTCTACAATTACTCATATGAGAAAAGACTTTCCACCAACAAGGCACCTACTCTAATACCATTAATATTTGATTTGGCTCTGCTCCTTCCCATGCCCTTGTAACATACAATTCTTGTCTCTTCTACCCGCTCCACCTCTTAACACCAACTAGTTATCACTTCTTGGTCCGACCCCACTCTCAACTTATTATTTTGACCACAATTCTCATAATTATACTCAATCCATAGTGTCTCCATAATATTCACATTCCTTTTTCTCTCAGCCAGATAATTCGCAGTCCAAACTAAGCGTCGTGTGCAATATCAAAGATGTGGCAAAAATATTATGATGCTCGTAATTTCTACAAATCCTCAAATAAGAAAAGACTTCCACAAAGAGGTGACTACTATACACCATTAATATTTGATTTGGCTCTGCTGCTTCCCTTGCCCTCTTACACACAATTCTTGTCTCTTCAACCCGCTCCACCTTTTAGCCCCAACTAGTTATCTCTTCTTGGTCCGGTCCTACTCTCTACTTATTATTCTGACCACAATACTCATAATTATGCTCAATCCATAGTGTCACAACAATATTCACATTCCCCTTTCTCTCGGCCAAATAATTGACAGTCCAAGCTAAGCATCGTGTGCAGTGTTAAAGATGTGAACAAAATATTTATGATGCTCATAATTTCAACAATTGCTCCAATGAGTAAAGACTTTCCACCAAAATGCAACTACTCTACCACCATTAATATTTGATTTGGACATGCTCCTTCCCATGCTCTTTTAACACACAATTCTGTCTCTTCAACCACTTCCACCTCTTAACACTAACTAGTTATAGCTTCTTGGTCCGACCCTACTCTCTACTTAGCTTGACCATAATCCTGTTCCGGTCGACTGGCTCATCCAAATGAAGCTCTTTTTCGGCGGCTTGTGTCTAGCTTTAAGCTACTTGTTTCTAGTTCTGATTTTCCTTGTGTTAGCGAACCTTGCCAACTTAGCAAAGAGTCGACGCTTACCAAATTTGGATTCTCATGTTTCTAGTATTAGTCTTTTTCAATTAACTTATTCGGATGTTTTGGGACCCTCTTCCATTTTTTTATTAGTGGATATCGCTATTTTGTTTTGTTCAATAATGATTGCACCAAATTTGATGGATATATTTTATGTCATATACATCGCATGTTTTTCAAACTTTCACTCAATTCACAATTTTGGGAGCATGCTCTTAACACTGCTACATAGTTATCCAATAGAAACAATTTGGCCGCTTTCACTAACTGATCGCTTAGGAATCTTAGTGTATGATTTGGGCTCTTTCGTTCTTCAAATCTGGGGGGATTTGCATCTATACCCGCTTTTTGGGTCACGTTTTAACTAATAGCCGCTTTACAAAAAAAATTACAAGCATACCCACTTTTCGCGTAAACTTCAGGCATACGGTCCTGAAGTAGCAAAGGCAATCACACAAACTTCAGAATTCTAGTAAATGGGCCTGAAGTTGTTTGTAATTGCTCAACCTAAGCATTCTACTGGCTGAAGTTTTGTTTTCTATTTGCTGAACTTCAGCATGTTTTAGCTCAAGTTTTTCGTGTAAACTTAGTATTGGCTGAAGTTTTTATTTGTAATTGCTGAACTTATGCATTCTATTAGCTGATGTTTTGTTCTCTATTTGCTGAACTTCAGCATGTTTTAGCTGAAGTTTTTCGCGTAAACTTAGTGTTGGCTGAAGTTTTTGTTTGTAATTGCTGAACTTAAGCATTCTTCTAGAAGAAGTTTTGTTCTCTATTTGCTGAACTTCAGCATGTTTTAGCTGAAGTTTTATCCTATATTTGATGAACTTCAGCATGCTTTAGCTTAAGCTTTGTTATGTTTGTGATGAACTTCATGGCTGAAGTTTGTTTTGTATTGAAGATGGAATTTCTAATCTTTCTACTGATACAATTCATAAAAATCCTTCTGATTGGGTACAAAGCATGTTATCAGAGCTCAACAACACTATGAGCATTGTATTCGTCAAAGAGAACCACAGTACAAAACATATTTAAGAAGCAGTGCGTAAACTGAACACAAGAAAAGAAAATGGCATAGCCTTAAACACAACTGCATTCTTTAAACACAACATTCGGTGTCATAGATGTCATCTTCATTCTTTAAACACAACTGCATAGCCTGCAAGTTACGTTCAACAAAAATGGCAGTCGCTATGAGCAAATCAGCAGTAAAATATACTACAAATTACAAAAAAAATG